GTGTGTGTGTGTGTGTGTGTGTGTGTGTGGTTCAAAACCCCTATCATATGAAAACATATATTGTTCACAACTTGGTGGTGTTTCCAAAACCCCTATCATATGAAAACATATTGTTCACAAAAAGTGGTGTTTCCAAAACCCCTATCATATGAAAACAGGAAGTGGTGTTTCCAAAACCCCTATCATTTCTAAACACCATATGTTTTCAGTGCACGCGGTAACACTGTCAAATCTCTCACCAGAGTTTCTAGCACGGGCGACCCACTACTCGCCTAGGTCTTAAAGCTACACGTAATCAATTTCATTCCAAAATCCTTTTCATTATTGTATTTTGGTCAGATCTTTGCATATAAGTAGGGATGTCACACTAAAAATAGGGGGCACCAAGGATTGTTACAGAGTGGATTCTCCCGATCAGAACTCTTCCTTTCGCATAAAAAGGCACCAAAAGAGACGGTCACCGTAAATCAACTCGTAAACTTTCTATGCTACAATCTTCAAATTTTCAGGATCTTAGGATCAAACAGTTTGCCACAAAGGTCTTTAATTACACATTGTTTTTGTGAGCAAAAGTTAACAGTTGTTGCTAATTACGCTAATGAGTACATCTAGCCATAGTCTGTGTAACGCAAAACTCTGCCGTCCGCGGCTTTAGTGGCCCCTCGGGGGCCGGCTGGATGTAGTCTCCACCAGACTTCTTTTGCGGGGCCAAAGAAGGTAGCCGTCCAGAGAAGCTCCATTTCCCTGTCAAGCCTTTTTAGGCCAATTTCTACGATTTATTCACCCCGCAAAAGAAGTCTGGTGGAGACTACACAAACTCTGCGGGGAGGGGCCACTAAAAGCCTTTATTTCGGCCAATTTCTACTATTTTTCCAGCGATCCGCGGTGCATGGTAGAGGCTACAGAGTTTGCGTTACACACACTAGATGTACTCATTAGCGTAATTAGCAACAATGTGTTAAGTTTTGTACACAAAAACATGTAATTAAAGACCTTTGTGGCAAACTGTTTGATCCTAAGATCCTGAAAATTTTAAGATTGTGGCATGGAAAGTTTAAGATTTACAATAAAATGTATGACTTGTCAAATATTGTAACAGTTGATTTACGGTCTCTTTTGGTGCCATGACTAGCTTAGAGTCAATTCCGCGTCATCGTGTGGCTTTTTTCTCCATGTTTGTAAGAAAAGAATACCCTAGTAACAAAAGTTCTAAATTCTTAAAAAAAATTGAAAATTAAAATTTGAATATATTTGAATTCATTTAGATATTTCTGAAGCATTTTGAAAGTGGCTGTAC